ACTCAGTAATTTTCATCTCCCGATATTCAATCCCTTGTAGAATCCAGTCTGTGTAAGTGTGAGCTGGAGCCACTGACTCATCTCTAGTGAACAGAATATGGCAAAAGTGATGAGATAACACTACTGAAATTAAGTTACAAAAATGCTGTGACTTCTGTATTGCTTATTTTCTCTCTAGAGACATTAGCCGCCATGTTTTGAGCTGTTTTTATGGAAAGACCCACATGACAGGAAACTGATACCTCTGGCAGCCTGCAGGCCTCCCAATACCTTGTGAGTGAGTTCAGAAGCAGTTTGTCCTCTAGTGGATTTGATTGTGGCTCTGGCTGACAGTTGACTGGATTGTGAGAGACTCTGAGCCAGAGGCATCCAGCTAAACCATGCTTAGATTCCTGACCTGCAGAAACTGAACTCATAAATGTTTATTGCTTTTAAGCCACTAAATTTTGTGGTTTGATTATGCAGCAGTGATCAAATGCTTGATGCTATATAAGTAAGAACCCCCATGGTCTCCAAAACAGTAGTGACTTAAGAACAACAACAAAATATTTCCTTTTACTTACATTGTAATCTAATGGCCCCACTCCATCCTGAATCCTGGCTGTGGGTTTCCAAAGCAGCTGTGGCAGGAGAGAGTGGCCTGGAGTAGAAAATCCTGGACAGGGTGGCGAAGGGGGCATTTCAAATCACAAAACCTGTAGATGGATTATATCATTTCTCTTTACATCTTTACAAGCAAAAACCGAGACACATGCCACTGCTTAACTACAAGTGTGGTTGAGAAAAGAAGCACAAGGATAATGGTGAGTACTGACCATCTCTGCCCTGGAGAGTTGGCAATCTTTTCATAAGCTTTGGAAGGGTCTCTGATACTTCAGTACTGCTTTCTTTATAATTTGCAGGTACCTTGTGCTAATTTTTTCAGCTTGTTGATTTACTTGAAATTCTGACAATAGGAAATTTCTAATTTCATTTCATACAGGTGATCAGTGCAAGAATTCTATATTGAACTCAGGTTTTCTGCCCTGGAGAACTTAACTTGAAAGCAATAATCTTAGGATCTCTTCCTAGTTTTTCGCATATGATGATCAAAATGCTCAATATGTCTAACAAGCCCCTGGATATCGTGGCCCCAGCCTTCTTCTATGACCTTTCGGCACTCAATGCTCTCCAGCCCCAACGACCTTCATTCACTTTCTCACATTCTCTATTTTCTTTCTCTAGTGCTTCTCAACTGGCACCAAACTCATGTGATTTCTTTCCTCCCGAACTACAATTTAACATCCTTAAATCTCAGCAAAATTGTCACTTCCGTAGATAATCTCTTTGATATCTCATACCATAGCAAGTTTTCCTTTTATTCAAACCAGTGAACCCATTTATTTTCTTTCACACTCACCATTAGTGTTTGAAGTTATGTATGATTTTATAAATCTTTAATGAGTATCTTTCTTTCTTAAGAGTCCTGAGGTTAGGGACCATGTCTGTTTTGCTCATGATAATAGCTTTGATCCTTAACAGATATATACTACTATAGGTGCTTAATGATATGTTTGATTGGCTGGACACATGAATAAATAATCTCAGACAAGTCTCACATGAAGTTGTTTGTAAGTTGAGACAATTTCTTTCTTTCTTTCTTTCTTTTTTTTTTTTTTTTTGAGACGGAGTCTCCCTCTGTTGCCCAGGCTGGAGGCTGGAGTGCAGTGGCGCGATCTTGGCTGACTACAAGCTCCGCCGCCTTGAGGGTTCACGCCATTCTCCTGCCTGCTCCGGAGTAGCTGGGACTACAGGCGCCTGCCACCGCGCCTGGCTAATTTTTTGTATATTTAGTAGAGACAGGGTTTCACCGTGGTCTGGATCTCCTGAACTCGTGATCCGCCTGCCTCGTTCTCCCAAAGTGCTGGTATTACAGGCGTGAGCCACCGCGCCTGTGCAGTTGAGACAATTTCTAAGACACCTCAAGGACCGAACAATGTCTGGCGTAATGCAGGGACAGCTAGAAAATGGTGAGTGACATCAAGATAAATGTAGGGATTTTCTTTAGGGGGGTACCTATTCTTTTAGTCTGAATAATTTTCATCTCTAATTAGTACAGCTCAGAGGAATGTTTCTCCCACCACAACGTGACTAAAAATACAGATGGAGCACTTGTCTGATGTTCTCTGTGGGTAGCTAGGCAGAACACTGACCTGTGGGAAGAATTTTGAGGGGTGTTGGATAACCTGGTCTCGTCTCTCACAAGATCAAATGGTGTTCTGTTGCACTTTGTGATGAAGAGGGGAAAATACTCGGGCAATATTGTTAAATGGAACCTACTTCATTTATATTTTTTCTGTTCTACTTATTTTTTCTTAAAGAGCTCTACTCTTGAATTGTTTTATTTTCCTCTGACTGTGTGTTTCCGTGTCTCTGATTCTGAATTTTTTCAAGTTCAATATTCAGTTGAAATAAAGTACAGCTGAGTTAGAATCAATCTGGAAAAACGAACAAGGAAACAAAAAATCACAGAATAGAAGCTTTTCTTTCTTCTTTATTGTAATTTCTCTCTTTTCTATCCCGCAGCTTGTATCCTTACTCTGGTTTCTCATCCATCTAATCTTCAAGAGAATAAATGGTGGGAAATGCTAAAGGCCCAGTCCCAGATTATAAACAGCAAGGAGGGAAGAGGTCAAGTGAGGGGTGAGGGTCCACTAACATTTGAGGACTTGAGTGTCAGGAACTTGACGTATGTAATCTTATTTAATTCTCATAGACATCCTATTCTATAGGTAAATGGTATTACCCCACCACACACACCATTTTCTAGATGAAGAACCTGAGGCTTAGAGAGGCTAAGCATTCTGTCCGTAGTTAAACCGTGAGTCTGTGACCGAGCTGGAATTTAAATGTAGGGTTGACTCCAAAATCCATATGATTCTCACTCAGCTACTTGTAGAGAAAGAAACATGAAATGGGCAGAATAAAACTGAACAGCAGGTAAATCTTTTGCCAGTGTGTCATGTAATACAACAGTAGAGTTAGAAGTGAAGTGTTTGTACCTTATTTCAGTTGCAGTGAATTTTCTAATTCCTAAAATGTTTGAAGATTTTACTAGGGCCATAAATCTGTCTTGTGCTTAGGAAAAAAAAAAATATAGAAACAATAAAAAAGATAAACTTAAAACACACAATTACTGTGCCGACACAGAGATTCACTGGGAATTGTATTTTGCCAACACACCAGTGGCCATCCGTGCTTCAGATTTTCCAAATGAATTTTTGTATTTACTTGCTCTCATGGCAAAACCTCTCAGAACACTCCTTGGTCCTTTAAAAATCCATGTTGACACAAGCTTTTCTGGAGTTGCTTGTAATTCCATAGTAACCAAGAGCCTCTCCTAGATTTTTTCTTGGCTTTATTCATCTGTTTGCCCTTCATTTTAGAACTCTGCAACAGTGTTGGTTTTGCATAATCTCAGTTCTTTCCTGTGCAGAGAATTGGGGAATTCTCTGCCAAATTGAATGAAAAAATTGAAGCAATTATCTGAAAATACATGTGAGAACCTGTTATCAGTCAGAATGAAAGGTAAACGTCTTCAAATTTCTGTTTCATTTGGACTAAGAAGACTTGAAGAGATTGCAATCTTTCCCTTCTCATGCATAACTCATTGAGTTACACATTTGCAAGGATGAAGGTGTCACTGAAGTACTTGTTTAAAAATAAATATTGCTTTTCACAGAAAGGCTAAATTCGTTCCCCAGGGAGCTGTAGTCATGGCAATGACACTTCAGAACTAAAATCAACAGTACTTTCTTTGAAGAAGTTAGTTATTGCATGCTTCACATAAATACACATATTTTGTCTATTTAGTATTTAAACCATCAAATTATGCTTTTTGGCATCATTGTCTACAGTTCTTAAGTTTCTTTTCTTCAAAACTGTATGTGGTTTCTTCTTACCTGATCATATTGTGGAATTACATTATGAATAGATCAGTGCCTAAATACAAGACTCATCAGTTTTATCTGACAAAATGTTTGACATAGATAATAATTATTTTGTCAGATAAAACCGATGGGCCTTAAATTTAAGATGTTTTTTCTTTCATATTTGTAGGTAGGTGGTAATAGTTTATTTAACACATTGTTTGCACAGTGAGATTCACACTTTTAGGTTTTTTTATTTGTTTTTTCAGGTAAGACAATTTCTCAGGTTTTAAGTATTTTCCCCTGGTTATACATATTTGAAATGTTTGGAGAACATTTCAAAAATGAAGGAGAATGAAAACATCCCTAATTCAAAATTTGCAAAGAATAGAGTTAATGTGTTGCATATTCATGTATACCTTATAGAGCTCATAAAATATATGCACCTACATGTCCTGTTTTTCACATGTAACTTATCTTGAGTATTTCCCATCAATGATATTTTTTTAAAAATCTCACTTATAATAACTGAATATCATTTTGTGTCCTAGATGTTTTATAATATATCTAATGATTTACTCTACAGATATTTGACTTTGATTTGTAGATATGTATTCTTTATGAACTGTTTTTTCTATTTGTATAATATTTTTAGATTTTTTTAAAAGAAAGGTGAGAATAATTTGCTAGTTTGGAAGTTTTCTTACGTCTTGATCTTTTAGAAAATACAGCAGAAAATATCAAAAATGTATTTTTTTCCACTTTCTTCTGGAACTTTGTTTCATTTATCTTATCATCAATAAAAGATAATTAGGTTTTTACTTAATAAAGAAAACTGCCAATGCCTGTGATATCAAATAATGCCTTTATTTAAAAATATTATAAGTGTAAAGAAGATAATGATGTTTGGACTTTTTATACATAATAGATTTCCCATAATCCCACAACATAATTCATAACACATAACACTAATACTGTTTGATTCCTCTGTTTAATTCTCTTCTCCACCTAAGATTTTACTAGGAAACTTTCTTCTTGGGAATTGAAACTGTAAGCACTTTTATTCACTATTACCTCTTTTCCTGTTTTAAGCTTTTGGGTCCAAAGGAAGGAGACTCTGTGTATTTTCTGAAGGCCACGCTGCGCCTCTCCCAAGGTATAAAGGTAAGAAGTACCTTTGTGTCTTCCTCTGCTCTCCCTTCTCCACCCACCACGCTGCTCTTCTGGAGCTCTCAGCAGCTGGAATAGCTGCTCTGGTACAACAGGAGGAAAATGGATTGTCTCCACATGGACTGTTTGCCTAGCAAAAACTTCTGCTTGTTTTTAACACTTGTTTAGATCCTCGATAACAGAAAAGAAAGCATTCCCAATGTAAGTAAGCTTTAATAGTCAATATCTTTAAGACCCTAAGACAATTAGCTGCTATTGCTTTGAATTTACTAATTACTCCACTTAATCACCTGGACTGTGCTGATGACTACTCATGACTTGATTATTTTTAAAGCGTTGTCAGTATCTATAAGTGCTTAAGAAGAAAAAGGTGAAGAAAAAGAGAGAGAATTTCATATCTCTGCATTATCTCCACATTTGCTATAGAGTTTGGGTGCAGAAGCAAAAAAGGCACGTGTAATGAATAATGACAGCACCAACACAGGAGGCTGAAAAGTTTATTTCAGTTGGTTTCACATTTGGCTATGCTTAGGGATGTCTCAAAGGATCACCTATAAATGTGGTGGCTATTCATTGATTGATAGACACTGCCTATTATTGAATGAGCTTAAAATAGGCCTCTTTGGACAAGCAATATTCCAGGAGAAGTTAGAGCAGGTGATTTAGAGGAGCAATCAGAGGGGATGAGATGGAGTAGGAGTGAGAAGGTGGTCCAAAGGGAATTTCATGCTGAGCAGGACAAAATGCGAGAGTATAGGTCAGGGCCAGGCACAGCAGTCAGTAAGTATCAGATGAATAAAATGCATGATGACTTTGCTTGAGATCTTGTCTTCAACTGTTCTCTTTGGCTTCTGCATTGTTTACCATTAGATTCAATGGAACATAGCTGATGAGAAAGGTTGTGAATAAACTACCCCCATTTAATTAATCCCCTGCTAGTTTTGCTGATGATCTTTTCCCCACAAAGTGTCCTCTTCAACAGCGTTGGGCAAAATACAGAATAATTAATTTAGCATAGCTTCTGTTAACTTGCCGGCTATTTACCATATTTTTCCCCCTTAATTGTCAGATTTTTTTTTCAAGGAAGATTAACAAGGCATTACTAATTTATAGAATGATTTCATCCATGTTTTTAAATGTTAATTTATATTGACTAAAACGAAACTGAGGTCATCACTTTTCCTTTGACAACTTTCTTCCTGAATTGCTATTTGCATCAAACCATGCTGAGTGGATATGGCTTTAGTTTTCTGAAAATGAGCATATTTTGAAATATATTTTGAGATTCTCAGCTTTATTGAAGGGTTTGGAGGCATCCTTTATCCCTATGTATTTTATATTCTGTTGAAAATCTTAGAAACATATGTTACAGGGAAAGAACACAGATAATTTATATATTCAGAACATTTCTCAGCATGCATGAAATGTATTATACTATCTCTTGGCAGTATGGTTGTGTGCAGTTAAAAGTTGCATAAAACTCAAGTATTCTAGTATTTTCTATTATCTCTTTTAAAATCACCTTTGGCTTTGTCTATTTTACTTTAGCTGTGTTTGTACTTAGTGTTGGCTAATAGAGTACCTGTCATGTGAACAGGTAGACAGAATTTTACTTTTTTATTTAATCCAAACAGCATGCCAATGCAAAAAGGTAATTGCAGTTTTGAAAGAGTGATATGCAATTATCTAATATAAGTTTAGGTGATAAATTTAAAATACAGTTGTTGGGCTTAAAAATGTCTACTCACTCATACTCCAGTTGCTGTTATATGTAAGATGCAGAGGCCAGAGAATGCAATAGAAGCATGGTAAAGGTAGGAGTTTTCTGTGTCTCAACAGTTCAGGCAGACAAGTCTATTCTTTTCTTTCCTGCTATTATTCCAGGAAGTCATGGATTTTCATGCAATGGGTGAAGAAGATATGTAGCTACATACACAGTACTGACTGGGATGTTTTAAAAATTGTGTTTGAGAACAATTGAGCTAATACAATGCATTTTCTTAATGAGAGGTTTTCAGAATAAAATTTTTATAATAGGCCTCTTGAAGCTAACTACCAGTGGACTTGAAAAAAGTCTCAGAGTTAGAAGAATTTATAAGGTTATATCATAAGGTTATAGCATCCATATTCCTTTATTTTTATGGTAGAAATAACTGAGTAAGAGAAACTCAAGTCACTTTCCCAAGATTATCTGGTTGGTTTATAGTAGAGTTTGACATTTTGTAACCACCGCGCACTCCCCCAGCCCTCAAAAACGCATATATAAATAAAATATAAAATTTATATTTTAAAATCTTATTTCAGTTTGTAATGTCAAAGCCATAATGTACCATCTGCTTTTTGATGGTTTTGTTTTTGCTGTTTTCATGGAATTCTATGATTTTCTCTATTTGCACCCAGCCCATTTTTTTCATATGAATGCTAATATAATGAGAATTAATATTTTCCTTTGTTTATGACATATCTGGGCGTCTATAAACACAGGCAACAAATAGCCCAGAATATATTATTGTGAATTTCATAAATTTGATATTCTTAACCAATGCATAGCTAATCAACATGAGTCATTTCTGCTACATATGCCGTATATGTTCCTGAAAATCTTTTGCTAGAATTTTAGGCAAATAGAATCATACATCGCATAAGGCATCAGTTTTTTCTACATGAAGGACTTTATTATTTCTTGTGTGAGTTGTTTGTGGTGAATTCTTTCTGATTTTTTATGTATGAAATAGTTTTTATTTGAAATGCTTTTGATATATTTGTGTTTCATGTAAAGTTATAGGTTGACAATTACGGTAAGCTGAATAATAGGCCCTTAAAGATGTCCATGTCCTAGTTCCAGGGACCTGTAAATAACATACACGGTAAAAGGAATTTTCTGGATGATTGAGTTAAAAACTCAAGATGAGATATTATGAATGATTAAGTTAAGGCGCTTGAGATGGGATATTATGTTGATATTCTGTGTGAGGCTAATGTAATCACAAGTGCCCCGATGAAAGAGAAAAGATGAAAAGACAGAAAAAGTTATACAAGAGGAAGGAAGGTGCTGATTTTGAAGATGGAGGGATCATGAGCCAAAGATTGCAGGTGGCCTGAAGCAGGAAAAAAGTAAGGGAACAGATTTTCCCCTAGAGCTTCCAGAAGGAACACAACTCCGTCAAAGTCTTAATTTTAGCCCAGTGGAAATAATTTCAGCCTTTTTATTTCCAGAAATGTCAGACTGTAAATTCATATTGTATCAAGCCACTAAGTTTGTGATGATTTGTTATAGTGACAATAGGAAATTAGTATTTTTAGTAATTTTTAAAAGTTATTCTATTATCTTCTCACTTGCATGGAAAAAAGTCTGCTGTTATCCTTATCTTTGTTCACTTGCATGTAATGTGTATTTTTTCTTTGGCTGTTTTTAAAATATTCTTTTCATCCTTAGTTTTGAGCAATTTGATTATGATATGCCTTGTGCTTTTCTTCATGTTTCTTGAGCTTAGAGTTTGCTGAGCTTCTTGAATCCGTAGGCTATAGTTTTTACATTTTTAGCCAGTATTTCTTCAATTTTGTTTCTTATCTCCACCCACATCAACACCCCCAACTCTCTCCTTCAGCTGATATAATTAAATGTGTATATATATATGTATGTGTATATATATATGTGTGTGTGTGTATATATATATGTATGTATTTTGAGATGGAGTCTCGCTCTGTCGCCCAGGCTGGAGTGCAGTGGTGCGATCTTGGCTCACTGCAAGCTCAGCCTCCCAGGTTAACGCCATTCTCCTGCCTCAGCCTCCCCCTACCTGGGACTACAGGCACCCGCCACCACGCCCGGTTAATTTTTTTTTTTTTTGTATTTTTAGTAGAGACGGGGTTTCACCATGTTAGCCAGGATGGTCTCAATCTGCTGACCTTGTGATCGACCAGCCTCAGCCTCCCAAAGTGCTAGGATTACAGGCGCGAGCCACCACACCAGGCCTAATCAAATGTATTTTAAGCCACTCGATGTGCCACAGTTTACTGATGCCTGTTTCATTTTTTGTATTCCTTTCCTTTGTTTCATCTTGGGAGGTTTTATTACATTTCTGCAAGATCACTAATCTTTTCATCTGCATTGCCTGATTTGCCATAATGTCTGTCCAGTGTTTGGTTGGTTTTTTTTTGTTTTTTTTGTTTGTTTGTTTTGTTTTGTTTTTTTTTTTGAGACGGAGTCTCGCTCTGCCGCCCAGGCTGGAGTGCAGTGGCCGGATCTCAGCTCACTGCAAGCTCCGCCTCCCGGGTTCACGCCATTCTCCTGCCTCAGCCTCCCCAGTAGCTGGGACTACAGGCGCCCGCCACCTCGCCCGGCTAGTTTTTTGTATTTTTAGTAGAGACGGGGTTTCACCGTGTTAGCCAGGATGGTCTTGATCTCCTGACCTCGTGATCCGCCCGCCTCGGCCTCCCAAAGTGCTGGGATTACAGGCTTGAGCCACCGCGCCCGGCCCAGTGTTTGGTTGTTATTATTGTTAACATATGAAAACAGTGTGGAGATAGTACAGAAATTTTCCATATACTTCCACATCTGGTTTTTTTTCTGTTTTAATATCTTGCTTCATTATGGTTCATTTGTTATAATTAACAAACCAACACTGTTATATTATTACCTAAAGTAACACTTTATTCCAAGTTCTTTAATTTTTACCTTTTTATGTTCCAGAATTTCATCAAGGTTATTATATTTACTCAGTATATCTCCTTAGGCATCTATTGGCTGTGATAGTTTTTCAGAGTTTTCTTGTTTTTGATGACCTTGATATTTTGTTGAAATATACTTAGGTATTTTGTTGACTGTCCCACAATTTAGAGTTCTATTATATTTTTCTCATGGTAAAACTCGGGTTATGTGTTTCGAGAGGGAGAAACAGAAAGGGTAAGTAAATCTCAATCGTCATTGTACATATCAAAGAGTGCGGAGACTATCAGTATGAGTCATTTCTGTTTGG